GGGTGGCTCAGTTGGTTAAGCAACTGCCTTCGGCTCGGGTAATGATCCCGGGGTCCTGGGATTGAGCCCCGCATCGGGGGGTCCTTGCTCAGCAGGGAGCCTGCTTCTCCCTCTCCCTACTACTCTACCTGCTTGTGCTCTCTCTATCAAATGAATAAATAAAAAAATATTTTTTAAAAAAAAGAATTTATGTAAAAAAAAGAACAACCTCCACCTGCCACCCTTAGAAATAGTCACGAGACTGCAGCTGCACAATCTGGAATGAAACATCACTTAGCAGTAATTGTAAGGTGCTGATTCTAAAAGCCACGGTGGCCCTTGAAGAGAAATCAGCTTAACAGTGAAAACATCCATGCAAAGCAGCACACATGCTCTTTGCTCATAGGAATAAAATGTGAAATTGTATCTGTGTGCTTGTTCCAAGATTTATTCACATTTCAGATGCAGCATTAGAATGAAACAGGAGTATCTCTGAAGATAAGAAAAAAAGAAAGAAACCTGGTTTGACAAATTAAAGCATGTGAAAAGCAAATAAAAACCTAAGATAAGCAATTCTGTGCAAATAAAACACTTAAAATGTTTCCCAGAACCTATTGTTCCATCTTCTAAAAATAGTCTGAACCAATTTATACTAGTCAAAAAAGAAACTCTGAGAAAACAGAGGAAGAACTGAATAAAAATGTTACCTAAAAAAACCTGACCCTTAATGCACAACAGAGGCATCCATAGGCAGCTTTCTTATGACTTATTTACTGCTAAATACTGATCATTCCAGGGCCTTTATCAACTGCTTGATATAAATTGTTTAATTTTCCTAGGTAAAGAAAAGGAAGTGTAATGAGTAATATCCCCATATTTGCCTTATAAAAATAATGCAAAATATTTCCAATTTTTAAACTATTTCATGAAGTGGTTCTCAGATGACAAATAGTAGATACTTTCCATGCATCTGAAGCAGGTGTTCTAAACCAGCATCAAGCAGCACAATTATTCTGGGGTGCTTTAAAAAGCCTCTTAAATGCCTGGGGCCCATTCAGGTGATTTTGAAGTTACCAGTTTAAAAATTTATTATAATAGGAGTACATGGTGGTGATAAAAGATAACTGCAGCAGTACCACAGGAAGATATAAAATTAAAAGTACAAGTCCTGCTGACCTAACTCCCCACAGGTAATTACTGTTTTCAATTTTATGCACATTATATATTTTTAATTTACAAAGGAGATCATATTATACATGTTCTGCAAATGGCTTGTCACCTAACAAAGTATTTGAACATCTCTCCATATCAGTACATCTAGGCCCACCTTGATCTTTCAACAGCTGCCTAGTATTCCATTTTTGAAAATGTATTAATACATTTTTAAATGTATTATTTACGCAGTCCCTTTTTGATATTTACATTATCTTTTTTCTTTGTTTTCTTTTTTTGCTGTTACAATTAACACTGTAACTGTTATCATACATCCTTATACATCCATATCCTATTGTCTTTTTGCAAGTATACAGTATGGTAAGCAGAATTCTAAAATGTCCAGCAATGACCAACAACACTGTATAATCTATGCCCACCTTCAGTGCGTGGAATTTGTGAATATGTTGAATATATCCTTAGGGCAAAAGGGAGATTCCTCTAGGTGGGCCCAAACCTAATCAGGTGAGCCTTTGAAAAGCAAAGGGCTTTCCCCAGCTGGCTGATCAGGGAAGAGGAAGGCAGAGAGGTGCATTTGGGCTGCTTGGAAGAAAGCAAACATCGATACTGTGAACTGCCTGTGGGAGCAAGGAACTGCAAGCAATCTCTGGAAGCTGAAGGCAGTCCCTAGCCAACAGCTAGCAGGAAAACAATGAACATTAACCCTAAGGTCACAAGGGCTGCCAATAACTGGTAAGCTTAGAAAAGACCCCAAGCTCCAGCTCCAGGTGAGAGCTGCAGCCCTGGTGACACCTGGATTTCAGCTCAGGGAGACCCTGAGCAGAGAATTCAGCCACACTCTGCCTGGACTTCTGACCTATAATAACTGTGAGATAATAAATGTATTGTTTCAAACAGCTAAATTTGTGGTGATTTGTTATATAGCATTAAAAACCGTATATAACCGGCATGAAAATTCTTAGAAGAAGCCAAATGGCTGGGTCAAAAATTTTTACAGACATTCCAAAATTGCTCTTCAAATATCTTATACCAATTTAAACACTCACCAACAGATCTAATTTTTTTTTTAATTTCCGGCATGTTACCTACTGATTTGAACGGTTCATTCTAAGTCCCAAGGGCTGAAATGATCTGTATCTTGCCCACTTGTAGCTGACTGTTCTGCCAGTCGAATTTTTTTGAAGTGTTCATACTCTAAAATTTTTTGTAATAAAAACTACCTTTCCTTTCAGGATCTAATAGGAGGAAGGTTGTTATCACAACTGCCAACTCCAGTGTAGGAAGCTACAATAACAAGAGTTACTATGAGCATATGGAACACTATCAAGTTGTAATCTACCTATAAGTAAAGTGATTTTGGGGAGAAGGATTGGATAAACTCTTGAGCCTCAGAAAACAAATTTAAAAGTTGTTTTTTTCAACTTTGAATATTCTTTTGGGAATAAAACTTTAAATATTTTATGATATATTCCTCCAAGATAATAATCTGAAGAGAAATCTGAATAGGACACAAAGTAAAATCCATGATCAAACCATCAATTACATGACATTAAAGCATTTGTATATATTCAGTATTATTTGGAGAAAGAGGTGTAGATTTTAGAGCCAGACAATACCCAAGAATTTATTTATTTACTTATTTTTTAAAGATTTTATTTATTATTTGATAGAGCGCAGAACAGAGAGTGAGAGAAAGCATAAGGAAGGAGAGCAGCAGAGGGAGAGGGAGAAGGAGGCTCCCCACTGAGCAGACAGCCTGATTCAGGACTCGATCCCAAGACCCTGGGATCACAACCTGAGCCGAAGGCAGACACTTAACCAACTGAGCCACCCAGATGTCCCAACAATACCCAAGAATTTAGTTCAGCTTCCTTATTTTATAAAGAATACAGTAACATTTTAGAAATCAAAAAGGTTAAAATTTTGTGGGTTTTATTTCAATATTTTCCTTCCACTTTATATAAAAAGACAAAAATTCCTTAAAGTATGAATTGATACATAATCTTTTTAGAGGGCTAGTTAGAGTATGTATCAAAAGCCTTCAGGGCACCTGGGTGGCTCAGTTGGTTAGTCGACTGCCTTCGGCTCAGGTCATGATCCTGGAGTCCTGGGATCGAGCCCCACATCGGGCTTCCTGCTCAGCAGGGAGTCTGTTTCTCCCTCTGACCCTCCCCCCCATGCTCTCTCTCTATCTCATTCTATCTCTCAAATAAATCTTTAAAAAAAAAAAATTTAAAAAAAAAAGCCTTTAAAATGTTTATGCCCTCTGACTTAATTGTCTTCTGGGAATTTGTGCCAAATTACAAATCCTAGATGATCATTCATTCAACAAATTAATTCAACCAATATTTTTAAGCATCTCCTATGAGTTATTAGATACTGTTCTAGAAAAACAACAGTGGATACAACATGTCCCTGCTGTCATGGAACTTAAATTATGGTAAGAGAGAAAAATAAACAAATGTAATTTTTAAATATAAATTTTATATAAAAACATACAAAAATTTAAGATGTTATAGACATTAATTTTTTTTAAAAAGCAGGGTATGAGAGTAAAATGATGAGATATTTAATTTAGAAAAAGCAACCAACGAAGAAAGTCTCTCAGATGACATGAATGAAGTAAGGATGTAGATCTTATGAACAGATAGCTATGTGGGAAACACTAAGTGCAAATGCCATGGGGTAAGTTCTCTCAAACAAGCCCAACACAGTACCATCACACTGAATGTTAAGTAAAAGCCAACTGTAAGTACCTAGATTCTGGTCAAAGAAATCTGTGAGAGTTTTTTTCTAAAGATTTTATTTAGTTATTTGACACAGTGAGAGAGGGCACAAGCAGGAGGAGCAGCAGAGGGAGAAGCAGACTCCCTGCCGAGCAAGGAGCCCGATGCAGGACTCCATCCCAGAATTCTGGGATCATGACCTGAGCTGAAGGCAGACACCTAACTGACTGAGCCACCCAGGCATCCCTCTGTGAGGTTTTTTGTTTGTTTGTTTTTCAAACAGCTAGCAACATTTTGACTTTCAAAAATTTTACCTTTAATAATAAGCTTTTTTACTATTACAGTATTATTTATAGTTGGAAACAACAGAAATGTCATACAGTTATTACTAAATTGGCTACATGATAGTGCATTCATAAGATGGGATACCTTAAAAATATTAAAATAATGTTTTAAAATCATGTTCAAAAATGTTTAATGGTACAGAAAAATTTTATTACATAAAGTGAAAAGAGCAATTTATTAAGCAGTGCATTTAACAGCCCAATTTTATTTTGAAAATACGTACAGATATATATGCATTTGAACTATTTCATGATAGGCTTTTTTTTCCCCTTCTTTTCTTCTTTTTTCCTGATAGACTTTTATATATACAGAAAAGAAGACTATCTCTCAAATAGTGAGATAATAGTTATTTTTAAGTGGTGTGACTATGAACAACTTTTTTTTTGGACAACTTTTATCTTCTTTGAACTTTTTTATGTTTTCCAAATATCCCAAATGTATTACTTTTTTTTTTCCAAATGTATCACTTTAATATACAAAGGGGGAAACCACAATAGTTATTTTCAAAATAAATGTCTTAAAAGGTAGAATCTTGGTTCTTACCAGAAAATGAACAACAGGAAGCATTTGAGTTCCATTAGTTTCTTTTCTGTTTATGTTTGACTCATTGTGGGACTGACAACAGGGTAACTAAAAAAGTTATGGAAGTGCCTGGCTGGCTCAGTCAGTAGAGCATGTGATTCTTGATCTCAGAGCTGTAAGTTCAAGCCCCACATTAGGGGTCCCCTAGAGTTTACTTTAAAAAAAAAAAAGTTCTGGAAAAGTGATTATACTTACACTCCTGTTTGAAGGTGAAATATTCTGTAAGATGTCTGCATTCATGATTTCCTCGAAGCAGAAACACTGTTTTGGGATGATTAATCTTTAAACTCCATAAAAACAGCACACACTGTAAGACACATATAAGGATAAATTTTTATATGTGACCATGATAACACATAAAGACAATTTATAGAAATCCAAATGACTTGCTATAATGCCATATCTCATTGCTATTCCCAAACTGAAACATGAAACCTTCCAGCTTTTTGAATGTGACATGCTGTTGCCCTAGAATCTGACAGACAGTAAGGAGGCTTCATACATACCTCTCCTTAATTTTTATTCCCATGTTCTATCCAAATATCTAGAACTCTGTGACAAAGCCACCCACATATATACACACACCCCCCTTAGTCCTAAAACCTGTATTTTATTTAATAAAGAACACCAGAGACATTTCCACTAAAATAAGGAACGAGGAAAGATATCCACTATCTCTGCTACCATTCAACACTGTACTAGAGGTATTTGCTAACTGAATTAGACAAGAGAAATTAATTAGAGGTTTAAGAATGGGTAAAGGGAGCCCCTGGGTGGCTCAGTCGTTAAGCGTCTGTCTTCGGCTCAGGTCATGATCCCAGAGTCCTGGGATCAAGCCCCACATCAGGTTCCCTGCTCCGCGGGAAGCCTGCTTCTCCCTCTCCCACTCCCCCTGCTTGTGTTCCCTCTCTTGCTGTGTCTCTCTCTGTCAAATAAATATATAAAATCTTAAAAAAGACAATGATATAATAATAGTATATCTGAAAAACCCTAGGAAAAAAATCAAGGATAAAACTAACTCAAATAATAAAAGAACTCAGTAATATGGCAGGATATAAAATTAATATACAAAATCAACAGCCTTCATATGCACAAACAATAAATAGGACACATGGTAGAGAAAACTCCATTTACAGTAGCATCAAAGGAGATTAAGCATATAGGAATAAATGTAGTAAGAAATGTGCAAAATTAATACCAAGAAAAATTTAAAACCCTCCTGAAAGACACAAAAGTAGGCAAGAACAAATGGAAAAACACTCCTTGTTCTTAGATAGGATGATTCAGCATTAGTTCTTCCTAATTTATAAAATCATTGCAATTCCAATAAAAATACCAACAAGTTATTTTATGGAGTTAGACAAGTTGGTACTAAAATTTCTATGGAAAAATAAACATGCAAGAACAGCCAGGAAACAGCAAAGAAAAAAACACTGAAAAAAGAGAACTATATGGGGGGGGGGGAACTAGGCCTACTAGACATTAAAAGATACTATAAAGCTTCTATAATTAAAACAGTAGTACTGGCACATATATAGATAAATATACCAGTGGAATAAAATAGTCCAGAAATTAATTCAAGTACATACAGAATTTTGGTATATAATAAATGTAGCATCCTAAATCACTAGGAGTAATGATGGACTTCCTTTTTTTTTTAAGATTTTATTTATTTATTTGAGAGAGTGCACTCATGCACATAAGCAGGGGAAGGGGCAGAGGGACAAGCCAACTCCCCACCGAGCAGGGAGCCCAATGTGGGGCTCCACACTATCCCACGATCCCATGACCCTGAGAGCATGACCAGAGCTGAGGTCAGATGCTTAACTGACTGAGCCACTAGGTGCTCCTAATGATGGACTTTTTTTTTTTTTTTAAGATTTTATTTATTTATTTGACACAGAGAGAGAGAGAGCACAAGTAGGCAGAGCAGCAGGCAGAGCAGCAGGCAGAGCAGCAGGCAGAGGGAGAGGGAGAAGCAGGCTCCCCACTGAGCAGGGAGCCCAATGTAGGGCTCGATCCCAGGACCCTGAGATCATGACCTGAGCCGAAGGCAGCTGCTTAACCAACTGAGCCACCCAGGCGCCCCAATGATGGACTTCTTAATAAATGTCTCTGGGACAACTGGTGCCATTTCAAAAAAAAAAAAAATCAGATTCATAACCTACGTAATACATAATAAATGACAAATGAACAAGGGAGCTAACCGTATCAAAATGAAACCACGTAAGTTCTGTAAGAAAGAATAGTGAGGAGTGCCGGGGTGGCTCAGTCAGTTAAGCAAGTCTGCCTTCGACTCAGGTCATGATCTCCAGGTCCTGGGATCAAGCCCCACATCAGGCTCCCTGCTCAGTGGGGAGCCTGCTTCTCTCTCTCTCTCTCCCTCTACCCCTCCCCACCGCTCAAGTCTCTCTCTCTCTCTCTTTCAAATAAATAAAATCTTTTTGAAAAAAAGAAAAGAAAAAGTGGTGAGTTCTTTATCCTTAGTGTAGGGAAAAACTTTATCTTAACTAATGACAAAAAAATCCAGGGGCAAAAAAAAAAAGATGGAGGGGCTCCTGCGTGGCTCAGTCGTTTCAGCATTTGCCTTCGGTTCAGGTCATGATCTCAGGGTCCTGGAATCGAGCCCCATGTCGGGCTCCCTGCTCAGCGGGGAGTCTGCTTGTTCCTCTCCCTCTGCCCCTCCTCCCATTTGTGCTTTCTCTCTCTCTAATAAAATCTTTTTTTAAAAAAGATGGATAAATTTGACTATATACAAATAATTTGTACAGTAAAAAAAAATTGGCAAAAACTGATAAAACTACATATTCATTTAACTTTTGACCTACCCTGAAGATACACCTCCAACAATAAGAAAATACATATGCACAAAGTTGCAGTATTGCTTGTAAGAGGCAAAATTTTGGAAACAACCTTAACGACCATACATAGGACAGAAGGCTGAGCAAATTATGACACACTCACACAATAAAGTACCATAAAGCTATGAAAAAAAAAAAGAGAGAGAAAGACCTCTATAAACTGATTGGAACAATTTCCAAAATATACTGTGAAGTGAAAAAAGCAAAGTGCAAAAGAGTATGCTACTGTTTCTGTAATAAAGAAGGGAAATAAGAAATACACATGTATTTACTCATTTGTGCAGAAGAAATACAGGAAGGATAAATGAGAAACTAAAGTTACCTACAATGGGCACAAAGGAAAGGGGTGGAAAGAAGGGAGCACTGGGAACAGTTAAGGAGGGTTGAGGAGGGAGCAATACTTCTCAAAGGATAACCTTTTGGATAGCTTTAACTTCTAGAACAACAGTAATGTTTTACACGTGCCCCTCAAAATAAATAATTAAATCAACCAGCATGTGAAAGAAACCCCAAATAGAATACAAACAGTAATAACCCTAACTGTATTATAAACAGATAACAAAGCAACAAAGAAGGGTATGGGGAAAAAAGAATTAACCCAAGTAACTTTGGAAAACAGCATTTTGACTGCACACTACAAGGCTAAAGACATAGAGAAATGTACACAAACACTGTATATCTAGTTGGTAAATATGTTTTCACAGTATGAATTGGCTGTTATATATGTATTTTATGGGTATAATAGGATTGAACAGACAAGTTAATATATTGCAGATCATGGGAGCAGGAAAGGAGGAAGACTAGACTGAATCTTGTGATGTTGGACTGGAATCAAAACTTAACTCTTTTTAGAGTATATACAGATAGATATAGAAACAAATAAAAATGTGGGTACATGTGCAGGTTAGTATGCTTATATATATTTCCTAGCTCCTACTAAGAGGGCCTAGGACCTCAAAATCACTATGTGTATTGATTTGGGGACTACAAATCAATTTTAGCAGGAAAGTATATATGCAAACACAGAACCTGCAAATAATGATCGATAATATACACTAATCATAAAATATACATATCTCACACACAGTCTCAAAACACAAGCAACAATTGACAGGACTATGGTAAGAATCAGATAATCAATAACTGTAGTTGGCAATTTTGACACACTCAAAAGTAACTCCTAGTTCAAGCAGACAAAAATAATGAAAGTTACAGGCAACAGTTCAACAGAGGATGCATTATTTTCAAGTATATACACGATAGCCACAAAGGGGCATCTGGCTGGCTCAGCTGGTAGAACATGCAACTCCTGATCTTGGGGTTGTGAGTTCAAGCCCCACGTTGGGTATAGAGATTACTTAAAAAAAAAAAAAAGTCACAAAAATCTACTAGGTACCTCATCAGAAAGGGAGTCTCAAAAAATTCCAAAGAATGAACATCATTCAGGTTACGTTCTCTAATTAAATTACATTAAATAGAATCAGTAACAAAATACGAAAACTAAAAAAAAAGTCCCATATGACTGGAAACAAAAAACTACTACTTCACTGTCCTAGGGTTAAAGAGAATTCTTAAAATAGAAAATACTAAATGATAATAAAAACCATACATATCAAAATCTGTGGGACCCAGATAAAGCAGCACTTAAAGGGCAATACACACTGACAAGTACATTTATTTTTTAAAAACAGATATGGAGATATGCTTGTAAATGCCTAATCTATATCTTAAAGGTCATACAGAAACTCCTAACAGTGATTGTAAGAGTGGAATGGCTAACATATGAGGAGACGCTCGATTTCATTAGTAATTGGAGAAATACCAATTGAAACAACAACATACTATTTTAGACGCATCATTTGGTAAATATTAGAAAATGAGATAAAACCAAATTCTAGAGAGAGGGCTGTAAGGAAATATGAACTCTTAGGTGCTACAGGTAGGCATATAGATTGGTACAGCTATTCTGAAGAGGAACCTGTGATTGTCAGTTCAAGAATAAAGGTAATATACCCTTTTCCTTGGCAATTCCACTCTTGTTCATAAACCACAGAGAAACTAAAACATGGGAACATCAGTGGATTTATAGAAGAATATTCATCATAGCAACGTTCACTATAGAAAGAAACTGCAGGCAACCTAGGTGTCCAACGTTGAGAATAAATAACTAAAATATCATAGATGTATACTCTGGAATACTATACAGCAGGCAGAAAGCAATGACTGAGAGACAGCAACCTGGATGGATCTTAAAAGCATCATGATAAGTGAAAACATCCAGATCAACAGAAACAAAGCTACAGCAGTGGTTCTCAGTGTGGTCACATTCATCTCAAATGTGGTACATTGGCATTACTTGGTAACTTTTCAGAAATAGAGATTTTCAGACTCTATCTCAGATCTAGTGAATCAGAAATTCTGGGGTAGGGCGCATGGGTGGCTCAGT